GGGAAACCTGACCAGATTTGCTTGGCTATAGTACAGTCAGGTGATACTGCGGTGATGGTCACAGCAGTCAGCAAGACCAAACTTCACCTTCTCGGTTTAGTGGTTGACTACAGACAGAAGGCTGCTGTACGAGGTGGAACTCACACAAACTACCTTGAAGAAGAAACTGAAGTCCTTAGTTCTTCTGATAAAGAAATTCTTACAAGTCAAATAACTGATTGATCCATTAGGCCTCTCCTTCCAACTGGCTACTTTTCTGATACACAGGGCCTCTGTAATCTGTTAGCAGTGGATGGTATTAATGAGCCTGATGTCCCAGCTTCACATCCCTCTCATTATCAGCTATCCCTCGGGATGAACCTGTCGGGCAGTACAGGTAGGAATGGCTGATGGGGACAGGGGAATGTACTGTTCACCTGACAAATACGCCTTCTAGTACTTCAAAGTTAGTGGGTACCACAGCACCTATGAGGCACATTGTACAGTCACGCTGGGAGCCTCTGCAGGGAACAATTTACAGCAGGACTTTAGCCACACTATCAAAGTGGGAGTGAAATACACCCAACTAATTCTGGGCATCCAGAATTGGTGAAAGAAATTAGGGTCCCCAAGAAGACATCTCACAAGATATTTACTCCTCCGCCAGACCTTGTGAAACATGCTCATAACCATGCCATGGAGAGGCTTCATGCAGCTTGTACAGATTACAGACACGGTAAAATTGGCAGAGGTGAAGCTGTTAACAAGACACAGAGGAACAAAAGAAAAATTTCCAGAGGCTGATCCATATGAAATAACAGAGTCCTTCAACGTTACTGCAAAGGTTTTTAGAAGTATTATTATTATTTTGTACCAGGGACCAAACTCGAGTCCTTGAGCTTGCAAGGCAGGCAGCGGAACCACTGAGCTAAATCCCGGGCCCCAGAAGGATTATTTTGAATGAGTACAAAAGGTGTGACGGACATGATTTGACTTCACTTAGGAATATAAGCTGTAAGATAGGTATGTTTAGAACTCTTCATGGATCAGCATTATTTCAGAGGGGACAAACACAGATGCTTTGTACTGTTAACATTTAGTTCATTAGGGCCAGGGATTTAGCTCAGTGGTACTGCCACCTGTCTCACAAGCTTAAGGACACGAGTTGGATCACCGGTACCAAAAAGAAAAACATTTAGTTCATTACAATCCAGTATAAAATTGGATCAAATTATAACAGCTATAAATGAGATAAAAGATAAAAATTTCACGCTGCACTATGAGGCTCCTCCTTACTCAATGAAATTGGTAAAGACACTGGAATACATAGGAGAGAACTTGCAGAGAAAGCTATATATCCTGTTATTCCCAAAATTTTGCCTTTCACTCTCAGAGTAACATCTGAAGTCCTAGGAGTCAAATGGTTCCGCTTCTATGGCATCTGCAGGTGGTGGCAGTTTAGCATTAATGGATGCAGAGGTCCCAGGATCCCCTGCTATCACAGGTGTAGCAATAGGATTGATCACAAAATCAATCGTGAAAGAGGTGAAAGAGATTACGGTTATCTGACAGATATTCCGGGAATTGAAGATTACAACGCTGACATGGATTTCAAAATAGCTGGTACCCACAAGGGAATATCTACATTACAGGCTGATATTAAATTATCAGGAACACCAATACAAATTGTAATGGAGGCTATCCAGCAAGAGTCAGTGGCAAAGAGAGAATCATTACAGATTATGAACAAAACAATTTCAAAACCCCGAGCATTCCGAAAAGAAAATGAACCTGTAAGGCTGGGGATTTAGCTCAGTGGTATTGCACCTGCCTTGCAAGCACAGGTCCTGAGTTTGATCCCCCTAGTTAGAAAGGGGGGAAGAGAAAGATGGACCTGTTGTAGAAACTGTTGAGGTTCCATAATCAAAATGAGCAAAATTTGTTGGATGAGGTGGATATCATTTAAAAAGACTTCAAATTGCAACAGGTGTAACTATTAGTCAGGTGGAAGAAGAAACAGTGCTTGCACAACACCCAGTGGAATGCATGAGGCAAGAGAATTAATCACCGAAATATGTAAAGATGACCAAGAACACCAGTTAGAATTTGCCACAACAGCTGAAATCAGAGACTACAGTAATGGTGAGACGAGACCCAAGTATGACCGAATTACTACTTTATAACATACCATGTGATCAAGGAAAGATTAAACATCATGCTGCCTAGGATTAGAATTTGGCCAAGAATTTCAGGTGAAATACCTGGGACGTGAAGAATGCACTTTCTCGTAAAGGGCTCGTCTCCAGCTATATTTGCTGACAAAACTCCAAGTGACAGAAACAGTATTATGGTGGGAGAATCTATTTCACAATCATCATCTAATTCTTCCTGGTGATTTTTTTAAAGAAATAGAATTCTAGGGTTATATTCTGTAGAGCAAAATTCTCAGATGAAGAATTATATAAATATATTCAAATTATTTGTATCAGTACTCATTTACGTGTGCCATTTTTTAAATTGCAAGAATAATCTATATTTGCTTATTCTTATTTACATTATAAACCAATATTTATTAAAAGTAAACTATGCATATTAGGAAAGATTACCCTTTTTTCTGTGATTCTGAAATACCCCAAAACCTTAAAAGAAATGGGTCACGGAGTGGGGTATAACTCAAAGGTAGAAAACTGCCTAGCATGTATAAGAGTCTGGATTCAATCCCTAACACCACACATATTTAAAAAAAAGAAGTAACAGATCACATATGATACAATGTATCTCTTCCCACATCTCATTTTTCTTCTTTATATGTAGTTTTCCTTTAGTCATCTTATTTATGGCTTTACCTCTTTGCTCAACAACTTTTCTTGCCCATAACTATTCTACAGACTGTGATCAGACATTTTTCAAAGCCAAAGTCTGTTTTTTTTTGGGGGGGGTACCAGGGATGACACTCAGGCCCTTGCAGTTGCAAAGTAAGAAGAACCACTGAGCCAAATCCTGAGCCGCTAGGGTCTATTTATACAGAGTAATTAGCAGTACATACTAAGAAGTCGAAGCTGGGATTCAAACTCGGTACTTGCGCTTGTGAGGGAACCACTGAGCTAAATCCTGGCCCTAACCCATTTTTAATAATATGCCTCTCAGTTGGTCACAAAACCATAAACACAACAGAGTAAGTTACAAATGGAATTCTCATGAGAATATTTTTGGTATAAGAGCTAGAAGAATCATGATTTTCAGTTGAAGTTACTGATATAATTTCACTCAAGTTCATCCCCATCATTTAAAATATATTTCCAGGCCAGGCATGGTGGCACACGCCTTAATCCCAGCACTTGGGGGGCTGAGGCAAGGAGGATCGCTGTGAGTTTGAGACCAGCCTAGGCTACGTATTGAGTTCTAGGTCAGTGTCAACTACATAGTGAGACCCAGTCTCAAAAAAAAAATTTTTTTTCCACAAAAAACACACCGATGGGAGCCATAAAAAAAAAAAATCAAACAATAACAAATGCAGGAGAGGCAGTCGGAGTGGGCAGAAGAAAAAGAACCCTCTTCATTGCTGCTCGTAATGTAAACTGGTACAACCACTGTGGACATCAGTAGGGAGGGTCCTCAAAAAGCAATAACTAGAAATTCCATTTGACTTAGCTACTGCCCTTTTATCTTCCAAAAAGAGTTAAAGACATCTTATTACAGTGGCACATGCGTAACCATGTTTATACCGGCATAATAGGTAAACCTTGGAAGAAGCAAGTGCGTCCATTAACAGATGAATGGATAAATACGGTACTTACAATGGAGTACTAACTTCTCACCATAAACGATACACTTCAGGCATTTGCAGAAAAATAAATGTACCTTGAGACCATCATGCTGTGAAGTAAATCAGACACAAATATCACATGGTTTCTCTTAAAAGAAAACCTGTTATGTAAAGTGCAAAATAAAAGACAATAGGAAAAAGACAAAGTTATTGTCATTCAGCATGGCCAATGTATAAGAGTACCTTGATTTAGTATAATTGCCTCGTGCGTTTTATATGTTTTCTGGCCTATTAGTTTGACTGTTAATCAGGCTATTAATGTGATAAGGACTTATAAAATAAGCGAATCTATGCTGGCAAAAAAAAGTTTTTTAAAGTGATTGGGGGAGAAGGAAACGGGGAAAAAGAACTGACCTGTACTTTGTTCAGGTTCCAATTCCCACAATGAATGTAGTCATTATGTCCTGCAAAGATGTACTAATTAAAAAATTTTAAATTCTGAAACAAAAATCACTGCAGGAGTCTAACTGCGCCTCCTTGGTTTCCCCAAGGAGATACTGAAAATCTACAAGAAAGCTGACAGATTCTAGAAGGTCTGCTCAGTGAGGCAACCAAGTCACAAGCAGCTTAGTGTAGGGATCACATAGCTAAATCCACCTGGAAATAAGCCTGTGGCGGTGGGCTGAGGGAAATCAGCAAAAATCAAACAGAAGAAAGAAAAAATAAAATGATCTCGACTTTTATAAGTTTAAAATGCACAGAGGAGAAAACTGCATTTTAAAAATGTGAACACAGCTTCTCTTGGAAAACTCGAGGCAATTTCCTTTACACAAGAGACAAGTATTTGACTCACATGAGCCAGTCAATGAGAAGAACTAGGGTACTGTGCACCAGCCATCACACTAAGACAGCGAATTGGTTATGCTGCATTCCCTTCTACCAGTGACTTTTACCTCACTAGTGTCCAGGTGAGGAAATTAGCTTCCCTTTCATTTTGGAAACAAAAACCAAAGTTAAGTCAAGGCCAACTTTTACAAATGCTTTCCCTCTCCCAAATGACAAAAGTAACCTTTAGTCAGGGATGTAGCTCAGTGGCACCATGTCTGCCTCGCAAGAGCAAGGTCCTGAGTTTGATTCCCAGTACTGAAAAAAAAAGTAATCATTATTTATGTATTTAATAAAACACACACCACTTATGCCATTGACAGGAATTTATTTTTCAGTTACAGAAGACTAAAGCACTCAAAATTACTTATAAGTGCAATTCCTAGATCTATGCTAATTAAGACATTTCCCCACCTGAAATAAGACTTGTGTGAAAAGAAAAACATTGCTCAAGGGGAAAAATAGTAAACTCTTCAAAGTAATTACGTTTCAAGTTTGGGGGAAAAAAAGAAAAAAAGCAGAAACTCAGTAGCAACGCAACCACTGGCTCTATCCACCGAAAGATGCCACAAAACGCGCTGCTCGCTACACCTCCTCAGTGTGCACCAAGTTAGAGATCTGACAAAGCTCCCGCCCAGGGGCACGGGTGGGCACACTTACATCGCGGGAGCGGCTGTAGGCTCTGCTCTGGGGGCGCGCACGTCAACGGCAGGTGCACCGCGTGGCTATCATATTCTCATACTCTTTGTAGGCGATGGAGGCGTCGGGCTCAATGGTCAGCACGCTCAGCGGGTTGTACGCGGCGGGCACACATGACGGCCGGGGCACCGCCGCGTCCAGCTTCTCGTGGATGATATTCTGCACCATGGTGTGGATCGGGGAGCCGTAGCGGTGCCGCACTGCCCGCGGACAGTCCCCTTTACAGTACCGAGGGTTGTACCTCTGTGGAGCCACAATCCAGTGGTCCCACCTGAGCTGCCGGAAGCTAAGTCTGAAGTCGCGGAGCTCACACTCGTCGTCGTGGGGGAAAAGAAACCGTTTGAAGTGCTCGCTGTGGTGGAAGGGCGCTGGAACCAGAGGCTTCCGCGGTTTGGGGCCGAGGGTTTCCCGGCCTCTACGGAGACGGGGACGGGGGCGGGGGCAGGG